GTGACTTGGCAGCTTCTTTCTTCTGTTGATAAAACTTTCAGGCAAACTATTAAAAAAAAAAAAAGCATTTTATTCTTTAAAATTGAGTGAAATACATTATTATTTCTGTATATTTTTCATCGTTATTCGCACCTTAAACTATACCAATACTCAGCTAACCACATTCAGCTGGGAGCCTCTTAAGTCTAGCTATATTTTCTCGTATTTAATGTTAGCTTGCTTTAAATAATACAAATATATAACAGTGGCTGCTAAAAGTAAGACATTTGAAGGCAACTCTTGGCAGCCGACAAAGCACGCAAAGCAATGAAAATTCCGACCTGCCGCAATAAATTCCGCGCGCGTATGCCAAAATGAGAGTGAAATATCCTGCACACACACACACAGACACAGACACACATACTTAAAGGACTAACTTAAAGAGGAGATGCAGGAATACCCACGGTGTGTAAAAGTGTGTGCGCGCCATAAATCGCGCTAAGCCAAAACAAAACATAGCTGGCCAAGTCCCAGAGAACAGCATCATGCATCAGGCATCAGGCAGGTGGATGCCACAGCCTTTGACCTGACACAATGCTCTACATTCGATGTTTTTCCCTTCTGTTTTTTTGGTTACTAGCCCCCCTGCACCAGCCCAACTTGGCTCGAGAGGCGACTGCGCAGTGGCGCATCGAACCGAACAGCTGTTGAGTGGCGCAATTCCTTACCTAGGACAACATAAGTAAGGGCAGCGTCTTGCAGCAGCCTCCAATACTAACACAAGGCAGAGTTTAATTTTACATTATTGTTTTATTGTCGTTAATGATCCAAAATATCTGAGGTTTAATATTCATACATATCTTCAGCTTTGAGTTCCTAGAACCAGCATGTGGAGGCTATATAAAAAGACATCTTCAAAATACATGTTGAGAGTTCCCCAGCTCAAAACATACCACGTCAGCTCTTAGCAAGTTACCAGCCGCAGGGGCAGGATGTGCAACACGGACTGCCGCATGGTCCACATGGGCCGCAGCAAGGACCACAGGACGGACCACAGCAAGGGCCACAGGATGGCCCGCAGCAGGGACCACAGGGGCCACAGCATCTGCCCGCTGGTACGAGGCAGCCAGGCGGGCAGGGCCCCACATAGAAAGGATCAAACTTGCAAACGATAAGCATTTCTCTTGTATATCCTACTGAAACGGAAGCGAGTCCTTCTTGGCACCAATTTTACACTCGCTGCAGCTGCACACAAGATCGTTTTAATAAATAATACATTTTATTTAAACATTTTAAGAATCGACTTACTCAAGTATTTCCTGTGAGCCGAAGATATGTGTTTATTAATTCCTCAGCTAGCGCCCTTTTTTATTTTTTCATCGTACGCCGAGCTGCCTACCTGAAAATTGGAAAAATAATGAAAATATTTGAGCAAAACGAAGCTAGGCTAGCAGCCGAATTCGTCAAAGCCTACTAATTTGGACATTTTCGTAAAGTTTGATACACTACTTCTGATCTATTTTCTCGCCTGCTGCGACAGGCTTACGGCATGGGAGGTTATTGAAACCGGATGCATTTGTTCTTCCCCAACAAACTTCTAGCAAAGATATAATTTAAGACATGGCAGCTTTTTATCTCAAAACTAATTCTCATTTCCCAAATATTCGGTTGTTACTTTCAATCAATTAAAAAAAAAAAAATTTTTTTTTTCTATATTTTTACCAGCATGTTTTATTAAACATACATATATTTTGAACCAGTTTATTATTATTAGTTTATTTATTCTGGGAATTTTTTAAACTACTTTAAACAATTTAAAAAATTTTACAACTTTTTTATAGCTTGAGATTTATTTATTTTTTTTTTTTTTAATTATCTTTTTTCCAACTAACATCTCCAAACGTATATCTTAAGAGTCAATCCTTATTCGCAGCCAACCATTGGGCTGACAAGACCAGAACCCTTGGTTGACAAAATTATATATATATTTATATTTAATGTATTTCACTTTTTAGTATTTTTTGAAGCTAGTGAATATAAGAATATATCAAGCTCGCTATCGTAGTCGATGAAATAAAAATAAAATCGAGACCCACCTATAAAAGCACTATAAATAGCAACACACCTCACAAATAAAACAAAAGCGAAATAAATTTATAACATATTTAATACTGAGAATTTAAATTGAACATTTAGGCAGATGTTAAAATAGACACACATATCTTCAGCCTTGTCCAGAGTTACGTTTACTTGTCACGTGCGTCTCCATCAAAGATAGCATAAAAGGGCAACTGCGTGAAGCAAAACAAATCAAATATCGATTAGCATTTAAATGAAATTATTATGTAGGAGTAGGTGGGATTACTTTGCAAAAATAATCTCGCTATAATCTCGCTATAATGATCGCTTAGCAGCAACCGCCACCACAGCAGCCTCCACAGCAATTACGACAGCTGGCACAGCCTCCTGCTGGCACTAGGCAGCCGGGTGGGCAAGGTCCAACATAGAAGGGATCGAATTTGCAAACGATATACATATTAAAATCCTATATATGCACACACGTCAAGACTCCACTTGAGAGCTGAAAAAAATTGTGAATAAAGATTAATAAAAAAAATATATATA